CAAGGGAGGTAAGGCACCCGCCAGGCCCCATGCGCGCCAGCAACCCTCCCTGCACCCGCTGGCCTCCCACCTCCCACCCCTGGCCCTCTTTTACTTACATTTTTAGTAGTTGCTCAGCAGGGAGGGGTGGAAGCTTCCAGACAGCTCGCCTTCACTGCAGACAACTTGCAGCACCGTTTGCAGAATAGGACTTTTGGCGGGCTCAGCAGGGCAGAGACAGCCTGGACAATTCCTATTGGCTTTTGAAAGCCAATAGAATTAGACTGTATTCAAGAGAGTCTATTCTATTAGCTTTCAAAAGCCAATAGAATAAAAGGGAGTCGCACAGCTAAGGAAAAGGGGAAAAAATGGTGGACTGCGTTGTTTGGCGACCCCCGTGAAATGTTCGTTTGACCCCAAATGGGGTCGCGATCCACAGGTTGAGAACCGCTGATCTAGTCCAACCCCCTGCTCAGGCAGGAAACCCTATACCATTTTGGACAAATGGATATCCAGTTTCTTCTTAAAAACTTTCAGTGTTGCAGCATTCACCGCTTCTGGAGGCAGGTTGTTCCACTGGTTAATTGTTTTAACTGTCAGGAAGTTTCTCCTTAGTTCCAGGTTGCTTCTCTCTTTGGTTAGTTTCCACCCGTTGCTTCTTGTCCTGCCTTCAGGTGCTTTGGAAAATAGCTTGACTCCCTCTTCTTTGTGGCAGCCCCTGAGATATTGGAACACAGCTATCATGTCCCCCCTCGTCGTTCTCTTCGTTAAACTAGACATACCCAATTCCATATGTTTTAGCCTCCAGTCCCCTAATCATCTTTGTTGCTCTTCTCTGTACTCTTTCTAGAGTCTCAACATATTTTTTACATCGTGGTGACCAAAACTGGATGCAGTATTCCAAGTGTGGCCTTACCAAGGCATTGTAAAGTGGTATTAATACTTCACGTGATCTTGATTCTATCCTCTGTTAATGCAGCCTAGCACTGTGTTGGCTTTTTTGGCAGCTGCAGCACACTGCTGGCTCATATTTAAATGATTGTCCACTAGGACTCCGAGATCCCTCTCACAGTTACTACTATTGAGCAAGGTACCCCCTATACTATACCTGTGCATTTGGTTTTTCTTGCCTAAATGTAGAACCTTACTTTTTTCACCATTGAATTTCATTTTGTTGGATAGCGCCCAGTGTTCAAGTCTGCCCAGATCCTCCTGTATCCTAAGCCTGTATTCTGGAGTGTTGGCTATTCCTGCCAGCTTGGTGTCATCTGCACATTTGATGATTTCCCCATCTATCCCCTCGTCCAGATTGTTGATGAAGATGTTGAAGAGCCCTGGGCCCAGAACAGAGCCCTGGGGCACCCCACTACACACTTCCCTCCATGTAGATGCGGTTCCATTGAGGACCACACGCTGAGTACGGCTGGTCAGCCAGCTACGGATCCATCTGATGGTGATGCTGTCTAATCCGCATTTTTCTATCTTATCAAGTAGTAGGTTGTGGTCTACTTTGTCAAATTCCTTACTGAAGTCTAAATAAATTATATCCACACATTCCTCTGGTCGACTAATTTTGTCATTTGATCAAAGAATAAGATTTGTCTGGCATGATCTGTTTTTGACAAACCCGTGTTGGCTTTTAGTAATGACTTTGTTTGCCTGTATGATACTGAGAGAAGAAAGTAATCATTTAAAATATAATGTAGCTTTTAGAAAGATTACACATGACCAGCCTTCAGCTTTATGTCTTCAGAAAAAAATTGATACTATTAAATCTATGAAAGCAGGAAAAACTGGTTCTGATGGTTATCTTATTGAGTGGCATGAGTCACACACTGGCGTTTTTTAAACTCCTATGTTTGTCAATTGTAATAATGCTTTTAAAAATGTTTTTCTAACTTACTTTATGGGGTGTTATATAACTGATTTTGAAGGCTTGTAGAAGAATTTGATTTTGTAAGCCATATTTCAATTTTCTCAATATATAAAAAAGTGGTTGACCCTACATATGACATTACCTTTGATTATCCATCCATATAGTTTGGCTTTATGAAAAGGCAACAAGCCTCAAATATTATTAATATTTTTATATAAATTCAGAGAAACTGGAACAGCAGCATCTTAATTAAATATGGGAAAGGTATTTGATACAGTGCAGTTGATATTTTTAGAGCAATCTTTAGGGAAAAAATGATTTTTGTTCCTTTTTTATACTTGGATTACAATGTGGTATTCTAATATTTATTTATATTCTATTATTTATATTTTAATTCATATTTATTTATAGGTTGCCCCAATGTATCACAGTTCTGGGCAGTGTACAAAAATAAATAGAAATATAGATAATAGATATCATGAAGCTAGTGCCCAATAAAAATAATTGCAATTAAAAAGTAAAACTCCATACAAAAGGTCCATCACTCTTTCAAACTCAGTGCCTAGAGCAGGAATGTCAAGCTGCCAGCCCTTGGGCCGGATGCGTCATGCCAAAACCGCGCCCACCCCAGCTACGGCACTGGGGAAAAAGTCATATATTGCAACGTCATGAGACATGATGAGTTTGATACCCTGGCATAAATACCCTGGTCTTCACAAATCACTTAAATAAGGCCACAGTGGGATCATACAAATCTCAGGGAGAATGTTGTTCCAGAGTGCAGATGCCATGATACTGAAGGCCTGTTTGCAAATGTCATTATTTAATCAATGGGACCTAGCAGATGAAAACTTTGTCAGAATTGATGGAACAATCAAAAACTACAGGAGATAGCAGTTCTTCAAATGATCAGATCATACACAGATTGAAGGGCTTTATAGATGATACCCAGAATCTTCAACTACTCCCAAAAGCCTATGAGTAACCAGTGCAAGTCATGAATCAGAGGTGCTACATGAGCATATCACAACATGGTCATAATTGCCTATGCTACATTTAGAACCAGCAGTGTCTTCTAGAGCAACCCGTGTGCAGAGAATTGCAATAATCACGACTGTATATTGCCAGGATTTTTACAAATTATTTATTAAAATCTTATCAAAATATCTTGTGAAACTTCACAAGATGTCCTTTTATCTCTTTAATATTGAAATCTGTCTGGTCTTACCAGACAATTAAGACTTTCCAGCGTAAACCCAGCTGGAATTTGACACAATTTAACACAAAGTATTTGACATGTTAATGATCTGTTTATATCTAATGAAGATTATGAATGCTTTGATATACTTCAGCAGTTTAGTAAATCACAGGTAGTCCTTGACTTACAACAGTTTGTTTATGGACTGTTCAGTTAGAACAGCTCTGAAAAGTGACTTACGACTGTTTTTCACATGACTGTTGCAGCATACCCATGGTCACATGATTAAAATTCGGATGCTTGGCAACTGATTCATATTTATGATTGCAGTATCCCTTGGTCATGTGATTACCTTCTGTGACCTTCTGACAAGCAAAGTTAATGAGAAAGCCAGATCCACATAATTGTGTTATTAATTTAACACCTGCAATGATTCACTTAACAATTGTGCAAGCTTGTAAAATGGACCAAAACTCACTTAACAACTGTCTTGCTTAGCAACAGAAATTTTGGGTTCAGTTGAGGTCATAAGTCGAGGACTATATCTGCTTACTCAATTAATTGCAGTAAATCTCATATATATTCTGTAGACTTTACTGCAATGAAAATGGAGTATGTACAATTTGGAACTTTAGTTTTTTTTTAAAAAAAAATGACTTAAAAACATATTGGAATAATTATTTTAGGAACATTCTTTGTAGTAGTAAATATTTCAATACCTGGCCGGTGGTGATATAATTATTATTTAGAAACCTAGGATGACCACCAGGCGGAAGGAATTGCTGGACATTATATGTTGAATGTAAAATTTGTTCCAAACCCATTACCCAACATCTAAAACTCCTAAATGACCAATTCAGTTTGGATGATTCAGTATTCTGTGAAATATTGTGTGGAAGTATATTCTCTCTGATAAAAAAAGAATCCACTATTGAAAATTAACGTGTTTTAAAGATGCAGTGCTTTATAAAATATAAAATATTGTAGTTTAAAGATTAAGTTCCCATTAAGAACAATAACAGAAGATGGTGCTATGAAATGCCACCTGATAAACTCCTCCAATGTTAAAATTAAAGGTAGTCCTTGACTTATGACCAGAAGTTATGATGGACCTCCCCAAAAGTTACTTTTAACCCAGTTCTGTAGTTCCAATGGCTGCCCCCATGGATATGTGATCACATTTTGGGCAATTGGTTGGTGACCTGCATTTATGTCCATTTACAGCATCCTGTGATCATGGGCCTATGGTTAACAATGTATTTGATGAAAACTGACATTTATTTCGTTTCTGGCAAAAGTGCTCCATAGTGAACAGTGTGTTCTCTAATACGATGTTGTTTACTTAATGAATGCTGCAAATAAAGGTCATAAAATTCTATCAATCATGTGATAACCCGTTTATGACCATCACAACTTACAATTGTAATTGGCAGGCTCAATTATGGTCATAAATTGAGGACCACCTGTAGTTTTGGTTAGACTGTTGTGGAAATAAAATATGACAGGCCATTAAAATGTGTGTAACTAGTAGCAAGTAAATTCTTTATAGAGATTAGACAGCAGGAAGTATTTTTGGCTGAAAATACTTCTACTTTTTTAAATGTGAAACAGCAAAAAGTAGTGAAAAGAAGGGCTTGTTAATATTTCCTCCTCCTCCTGGAAGCCAAGAAAATAGCTGGGAAGAGGGTAGTGTGATTCTGAAAAGAAAAGGCCTGGAAGTCAGATATGTAAGAAGCTATTCCTGCTGTTCTTAATCTCAGATAATGCAGATATACATGTGCAAACAGCATCCAACCAATGAAGAAAATAGCAGACTAATATTGGATGTAGCTAAATTTCAATGACTTGAAAAGATAAGGCTAAGATTCTCTCAAAAGACATGTATACAAACATTTGACTTCTGATAAAATTGCTCATGCTTTATAATAATTAGAAAAATTAAATATGACAATGGCAAACAAAAATTATTTATTTGAAATGTCACTTAAATATGTTTTTCCATGGATATTCCAAATATACACAAAAAGAACATTGCAGCAATTTTTTTTAAAAAAAAGTTTGGTTTTATGCAACAAAGTGCCAAACCTAGCTGTAACACATACCTGACTTTGTTTTACTAAGTATAAAAAGGAATAATTTATATTTACACTTATGTACAACGATCTACACTTATCCACATACACATCAACCAGTTTCAAAACATGAGTATATTTGCTTCAAGTTTTATCTACATTAAATATTTTTTAAAAACTGGTCACGAGCGCCAGATTTTGTTTTTATGGTGCTTTGTTGATACAATCATTCTAGTGCTGCAAAATTAAGGCGCTACCCAACACCAGACCTTCAGTTACGCAAAGCGCTGTATGACTAATGCACACAGTTTTCTAAACAAATCTTATTCCTTTTCATTGAAAATGAACTGCAGCATGAATCAAAGAGCAGAAATCCGCAGCTTATCAGCTTATCGGAATCCCAAAGCACCCTTAGCAACTGAAAGGAAAAAAGGGTATTTGAAAACAGTAGATAAAGGCCACTGTAGCAAATATTTCATGAGTGGTGAAATTTAAAATGGTCTAAACTTCACCTATTATTTGGAAGCAAACTATTACGGATTTCAGGTTTTTGCGTGCTTTTTACAGGTGTGGCTGTGATGTCTTTGCAGCCCTCTTATAATCAATAAAAATATGTTCTCAATATTATTTCTGCAAAGCATTTTAGACAATGAGGACACTGTAATCCTCAGTTCTCTGTAAATTGCTAGATTGATCAGCCTAAGAGAAAGAAAAGAACATAAAAATTATGGTTTTCATCATATACTTATGTTAGCATTTCTGCTGAGGTGAGCAAGTTCTGATGGCTGAAAGGCTCATCAGCCTGGCTTTTGATTTTAAAGCGCAAAAGTACCATGCTGAAGACTGTCATAAAATTCCTCATCCAAAAGATAGCATCAGATGGCAATCTAAGGAATAGTATATAGGATTCTGCCTCAAAAATGGAAAGTGCCAAAACAGTAACTTAGGAAGAAATTAGTTAATTGTACTTATGCTGAATTGTTCTGTAGGTTCAATTAGTAACATAACAAAACAGAAAAGGGAAAGAGAAAACCAAGATGTGAACCAAAATCTTGCCAGAGACATTCCAAGTAATCACAGCTAAAACTGTGAAAAATAATGAAGGTGGTCCAAGTTCCCTGCAAAAAATCACTGAGGTTCATTTTGAAAAACTTCTTTCTTGATAAAACTTGGAAGCTTTTATAGTCCAGTGAATGAACAGGAAGACAGCTGTGTTGAAGGAAAGTGTGATAGCACCCAGGGACTGGATAGAAAGGAGAACTAAGTGAGAACCTCCTTCTCTCTGGCTTTAATTTTGAAACAGTAACATCATGCCTGACTTCTAGTGACTACCTGGAGAAATTCATGCGGTATTCCTGGCAAGCCACTGATGTGGCTTGCCATGGCCTCCTTCTGGCACGTTTTTGTTTTAAATTTCTTGGTCTCACCTACAGCTTCAGAGATGCCAGATGATTCCCTATCCAAGTAGTAATGAGGACTGACTTTGTTTAGTATTCAAGATCCACCAAGGTCAGCCAGGACCAGGTGCAAACTTTAAAAAAATACTTGAAAGAGAATCTACAAACTGTGGTAAAGAAATTAGAACTTGCAGGAAGGCTATGGCAGAAATTATTAGAACTTCATTTGCAAGTTGCACAGTTAACAATTGAAAGAGCAGTCACAGGTCAATACTTAACTACAAAAAGTGAATTCCAAGAAGAAGCAATTACAGTACATTCAGGCTGTGTTGATCAGTCTTAGGAAACTGCTATCTGGTCAAGATTTTTTAGACAATCTTCTAATACCACACAATTATAGTACTTACTAAAATCAGTCTTTTTGATATTAGACTTCCTGTATACATTTGAAATTTCTATGCCTTTGTCCAAAGAGCACATGCTGTTTCTAATTCATAAAGGAGGCACTTTTGAAATATTTTGGTATTGTCATTATTTTCTTGCCAGATTAATTTTTTTTTACACCCGATATCTTTTAGCTTGTTGTGTCTTTGCACTATGTTCTAAAACCTGAAATAATATTATTTTCATGTCCTGTTCATTTCTGGAAATTCAGAGATCCCAGCAGTTTGAATTAGCAATACTGATTTGCTGTTTCATGTTTACAACTAAACTATTTCCAATAATTCGACCATTTTTAAAAAGTTAATCACATATATGAAGACATCAAAATACAGATATATTTACATCTAATTTAAACTTGCATTGAAATTTGCAGTACAGGATTCCATTTGTGTCTCCTTTCATGTCAGCAAGAACTTCAAGCACGAACAGTATTCGGTACAAACAAGTAATATTAAGGTTTTGGTTTTCAAAAGTATATGTAATTAAGTTTTCTTAGAAGAACCTATTAGGCTGGTATGGCAGTTGTGAGTAAAGATGGATTTTACTTAAGTGTTACTTCCAGATAAAACTAGAAGGATAAAATTGAAATGGTGATTCGATTTTTCAACAGCCTTTAGTTAAGATGATCGCTGAAGAGCTTGAAATTAATAGTGTAGATATACACTAAATATGCTGGCCATGATCCAGCCACGGAGCTTTGCAATCTCAAGTATTTAATGGCAGAGAGAAGCTTTCCCTAAGACACAGTTATGTCCACTTGGAAGGCGGTTAGTTCCATGTCCCAACTACAAGGCTGTCCATAGGTAACTCCTTATTGTAGATTCCTGATGGAAAGCGGGCTTGGGAGGGAAGAATGACTCAGTCTTCTTAGATATATTATGAAACATTTTTCTCAATACATATAGCATGCAAATTACAAACACAAGGAATTGGCTTATAACCAGCCACAAAGCTATTTCATCAGATACTGTTTTGAACAGTGTTCTTTGGAAGTGGAACATTTTATCCTGGCAATCCCATTTATGTCCGATACTTTTGTCCACCTTGCAGATAAAAAGTTGCTGTTGGTGCTTTCTTCCAGAGGAACATTTGAGAATTTCTTTTCAACTAGCTACCACAAGGACAATTCTAACAATACATATTCTCAGTTTCTAATCCACTACTCCAAGTCTGTTTCGACAAAGAAATAAAAATGTCAACTGGGGATTTGTAGACATTTTAGTACTTCTGACTCAATTGTCTCATTATAATAAGTAGGTGATGATTATGTACTCAGTTGATGCCTGCAACTACTGTATGCTCTGTTGTGGCACAACTTCCAAGAGGCTCAGATTATTCCAGGACAAGAGGCACAGAATACTTGATTAACTATTGGGTCCAGCGTGTGCAAAGAAGAATGAATGCTTAAATGAGCAGAGGGAAGAACTGTTCAATTACCAACTGTTTTCTTATTAGAATTAGAAACTAGTTGTTTTCAGTGTGTCTTCACAAATAAGACTGTGTCATCTGGGTCTTTTGCGGGTCACAAATATTAATACACGACGAATGGCAATGAGACGATCTTTAAGTGAAGTCATAGCAAGAATGGCCAATTGGGCTCTGTTCTCTAGTGGTAATACTGCCAACAGCCACCAGTACCAAGCTGGACCACTGGGATTACTCTGTAAAGAAAACATTAATAAATTAACTGTTTTTAGTAAGATAATTCAAGCAGATAGAATGCCATCTGAGAGCTGTAAGAAAATCTAAGAATACAACATTCTGGGCTGTTCACAGAATGCAGAAACTGAAAATAGTTCTTGCTCGCTCACATATTTCTGTAATGAACCTGCAGCTCTCCAGATGCTGCTGATCTATCACTCTCAGCAGCTTCAGCCAGGGAAATGGGGAAAATTGCAGTCCAGCAAGATCTAGAGTCACAGTTTTCTCCCTATTTTATGTAGTAAGACTGTCCCCCAAAATTATTGTCATTATCTTGTTATTTCACTATTATAGAAAAAATATCAACCTAAAAACAATAGATCAAAGACAGATGACAACCAAATTCCAAACTGCTTTTTCTGGCTCTCACGTAGTCCAGTGGGTAATGCGTGCCAAAATTCAATAGCAAACTATCAAGCATTATGAATGTAATTTCCTGCAGATTTACAGTATGAAAGCTTGAGGCTTCAGAAATGTTAAAAACCCTTGAAGTGACTAAATCCTTCATGGAATTAAAAACTCTGAAATATAATCAATCTGAATGCACATACAGGTAGTCCTCGAGTTATAAGTGTAATGGAGCCTGCCCATTCCACTCATAACTCGAAAACTCATGGGAGTGAATCTTGTACCTCAAACGAGATCACTCGTTAAGATGTATGTGGCTCGTTAAGTGCACATGAGGTATCTCGGTGGGGAAGGCCATGGGAGGTGTAGTGATGGAACAGGCCCCCAAAGCCTCCCCGACCCACTAAGAAACATCATGCTTCTCCCTCCCTTCCTGCTGCACTGGACTCACTTACCTTGCAAAATTTATCTCCTCTCTGCCGCAGTTTATTTCCTTTTGAGGGAGAAGAGAATCAGCTCGGAAATGCTTCCGACAATGGAAGCTCCTGGGTGCCGTAATAGAGGGCAAGTTCAAACACAAATTCTCTGCAAAAGAGATCATGCCCCCCAGAAGCTTCCGTTCTGAGGGGGGGGGGGGATAAGTGTTTGATTCATTTGCATGCCTATGGGGCAAAGCGTGGAATTGGAGTTGACCAGGTGCAGGAACCAATGTCGTCCGTGGCCCGGATGCGCTGCTCACTCATGTGTGCCAGCCTTGGTTTGAGGGCAGGAACGAAGCCTTCAACTGAGCGGGGCGAATCCCCTTGGACCTGTGTGCAAGGCAGCGGCAACAACCACCTGAGTGGCTACGATCCCCCCCTCCCCAGCCAGCCACTTACCTTGCCGGACCTATTCCTTGCCTGACCGGCCGGTGGCACAAATCCTGACCGCTCTTCTTCTTGTGCTCCTTTCTACTCAAGCAGCAGCAACAGCTTCAGTTTCTCCGCTCCGTCCAAAATGAAGAAAGCGGAGGCACATAGCAGGATTGTTCTCAAGAAGACACAGTTGTGCTGCTGGCTCGTGTGCGCCGGCCTTATTGAGAGCAATCCCGCTCTGCACTTCTGCTTTTTTCCACTTGGACGGAGCAGAGAAACTCAAGCTGCTGCCGTTCAAACACCTTTTATCCAAATGTACACCTGAGAGAGATTGGAAGGTCCGTGTGCCTGCCAATGGGGAGCTTCAGAAACAGAAAGGAATGTTCCATGTGACTGCTCTCAAAAAGGCTGGCACACGCGAGCGAGCAGCACACCCGTGTCTTCTTGAGAGCAATCCTGCTCTGCGTCTCCGCTTTCTTCGTGAGCAGCACACCCGTGTCTTCTTGAGAGCAATCCTGCTCTGCGTCTCCGCTTTCTTTGTTTTGGATGGAGCGGAAAAACTGAAGTTGCCACCGCCACCACTTGAGTGGGGAGGAGCACAAGAAGGGGATTCGCCCCACAATGCCTCCCTGCTAAGTTGAAGGCTTTGTTCCTGCCCTCAAGAAAAGGCTGGCGCACATGAGCAACGTACCTGGCCACAGACGGCATTGGTTCCTGCACCCGGCTGACTCCAATTCCATGCTTTGCCCCATAGGCATGCAAACAAAACAAACACCCCACCCCTCAGAATGGAAGCTTCCGTGGGCCATGATGTCTTTTGCATAGAATTTGTGTTTGAACTTGCGTGATATTACGGCACCCAGGAACTTCCATTGTCAACATGAAAAGCATTTCCAAGCTGACTCTCCTCTCCCTCAAAGGGAAAGAAACTGCGTCAGAGAGGAGATAGATTTTGCAAGGTAAGTGAGTCCGGCGCAGCAAGGAGGGGGAAGCAGTTGTGAGGAGTGGGGGGGAATAGGGTGAACGTTGCAGAGCCTTTGCAGTCGCTCGTAAAGGCAAATGACTGCCATGGTGCTGCAATATTCGTAATTTTGGGATTTGTTTGTAAACACTAGGGGGCGCTGGTCACATAACTTCGAATGAATGTTAAATGAATGCTTGTAACTCGGGGATTACCTGTAATTGTTCTCCTCCTGAACTCTTGGCCAACAAAAATAATTATGCAGCTCCTACCTCAAATGCGATTTCTTAACCATTATTTTGGGCATGACTTCTGTCAACACTGTGACAATGGATGTCGTCGCTCTGACAACTGAGAATCAACAGCCATTTTTACTTTTGCTTCTAGTGTGCTTTCCGATTCTTTTAGAGTTCAGATGTAGAAGGGGGGATGGGGTAAATGCTTGAGGGTTTAGCTAGCCATGGCAATGTAGAAGTGTGGGAATTCAAGGACATGGTCTGATAAAGTCTTGGCGGGCTGAGGGGCTGGTGAGAAAATCCGGTGTCTTGCATTAATTGGGGAATGTGATTTATGACAGCATTTGTGGGATGGGAATTACAACTTGTAACTTTGTATCTGGGAGGAGGGAATCTCAGTTTTGGGTTCAACTATGTAAGTGCCGATACTTTGTTTCCTAATAAAATGTTCTTTAAGGAAGAATTCCTGCCTTGAAGTTCTTTTACCAGTTTCATCTATCGGAACCATGACAACTTCATTTTAAAAGGGATTTAAAGGCCACAGAAATACAACAAATTTAAAGAAACAAATAAGGAAGAAACATAACATTAAAGTAAAATTTATATTACTATTTTTTGCAGAACTGTCTTATTGGTTTTAAGGGAGTAATTTCATCATGTACTGTAACATAAACATATGACTCATAGTCTAAGAAAAGGTAAATGCAACCAAGGAAACAAAACTAAGTCTAAACTGTTAATACACAATTTGTCCAAATACTGTTGTAAAAACAAGTATCAGTCCATGTAAGCAAAATGAAATGGAATTAAGGTTCCAATAGGGAATACAGTGCATCTTACAATAGCCCAAAATACAATCTCAAAAACAGAAATGTAATTGGATTTTTGTAATCAATCTTTTTTAAATTTAAAAGTAAACAAGAACAGGGCACATTTTAAATAGCCACCAATGTATTTTCAGGAATTGTGTGTGTCTGAAAACCAAATTATGAATTCCTACCAACAGAGTTTTACAATAATTGTTTTTTTAACTATCATACCATAAAGGATACTTCTCATTATTGGATTTTGACTTGTACAGGAGTTAAACTCTTGAGATTTACTCATGGTGCCCTTTTCAGGTAACACAGCAAACTGCTTGCCAGTGGCTGTCTATAATTACCTTTATAATTTTATTAACAGTTTGAAAAACAAAGGTTAAATTAATGTAGACTAAGGAAGAAAAAAAAGAGAAAGAAATCAGAGCTAAAAGTGCAAGAAAGAAAAAATAAATGAAAAATAGAAGAGAAAGAAAAAAGGTACAAAAAAGTGGCTTCTGATCTTCTTTATAGCAGTTATAAGTACAATTATAAACGTACCTATGCTTCCCCCCAGCCCAAATTGGAGCAAGCAGAGAGGAAAGGAGGGAAAGCAAGACACCAGGAGAATGGAGATATATGGACAGGCGCTTGCCCTGGTCCTACCCCCTTCTGCCAGAGACCCTCAGATCTGTCCCACTCCTGCCCAGGCCCCCACAGGCACCCTTGATGCGAACGATGTAGAGCTGGCCATGCTCACCCAGTAGGCCACACTCACTCCAGCCATGCCTACCCAGTAGGCCGCACCCACCCTGGCCACACCTACCCGGCCCCCCGAGGACAACCGCAATGCTGATGCGGCCCTCAATGAAATTGAGTTTGATACCCCTGCCCTATATTTTCACACAACTTAATTTATAAACATTTTAGCTTCACAGATTTTAAATTAAACACTCACTTAAGTGAATTATTTGCATATATTATTCACTATGGCATTTACAATTGTACCCTGTATATTTTTAGCATTGATATACCATTGCATATTTACCTGTGGCTCACGTTCTTTCCCTGGCATTGGTCCAAAATGGTTTAAAATTTGTGCTTTCATATTGTCTTTAAGAGAAGTAAACCAGGATACAGCTTGATCATAAACAGAATCATGAATGCGGACCAGCTCTTCGTACTCTGCCCCTTCAACCTGATTTGAGTTATGAAAATGGATTTTTAAATAAATGCATGTTATGTACAGCATAACAAAATCAAATGCCATTTTAAAAAGAGTTACTTTTAAATATCCTAAACAGGGGACTTTTTAAAATCACCTCTCTTTTGTATAAGCCCAAAATTCCAAGAAAGCAGCATGGATAACTTCAGGTGTTCAGTATTCAGAAGGATAATATTGAAAATAGCTGATTACTGGGGCTGTTTGCCAATTTATCACTTAGTAGATTGTTTTCCAACATTAACAATCAATGATGAAGACTAATGTGCAAAAGTACAGAACATAGGAACTAACATTTTTCAGTTCAGATATAAAAATTGTTTGCAGATTTTTTAAATATATATGAATTAGTTGAATTACATTTGAGAAATGACAGTAAAATGCTAACTCTGGATCACACTATTGGTCATCTAAAATGCCAGTCCATTTAATTTTAACTTTCATGAATAAGGGAGAGCCTATTCTTTATGTATTTCTCTTAAGAGCTGCTTTACATTATACCCTTAGAGAAACCAATCATATAAATTAATAGGATTAAAAGCCACTGACCAAAGCATGCTTAAGGAACATGTGATCTGATAGAGCTTGCTAATAGTTTTGCATCAGTTTAAAGAAGAGAGCTGGTGCTACATATTCAAAGATCTGATATAATTTGCAAGCAGATTTGAAAATGGCATTCCTAACATGTTTTGCTTAAAAATCTCATGTCTGTGTAAAATATATATATAAACAGAAAGAAATTTGGATGGAACATCCGTTTTTCATATTCCTATTTCCTTTAGACCACGCTTCTGTAATGCCATTTCCTTATTTAAAGCACTACCCTGGAACATGAGCAACTGAACAACTGCACAGTAATGCTGTAAATCTCTTTAGGAATATATTTTTAACATGTTAGGATTTAGTACTGAATTGAGTATTTAAAACTTCTGAATATGGTATTTTGACTTTTAAAAGATGGTTTATTAAAGGAATTTGGTGCTGATTACTTTAATGAGGGAATGGAAACAAAAGGGGAGAAATAATTTCAGCTTTGGGTTAAAAAATTAATTATGCAACAGCTAAAGAAGAAATCCACAAAAGCCAGCCAAAGGTTAGATTACTGTATGGGCTGTCCTGTAATTTAGAAGACAAGGGATAGCTCACAAAACTTATTTTCAATAGTTGAGGTAACAAAAAACTACTCCACTAAAACGTTACCTTTTCGTCTTCCAAATATTCAATATTTGCAGTATTATATCCATCTCGCTGACCATGGCATAAGACCCTAAAACGCCGAACACCAACTGTATCAACAACTGAGCGTCCATCAGGGAAAAACTTCACATCCCTGATTTCCAACATGCAGCCATAATCTGCAAACCTGAAGGGACAAGGCCATATTAAGGCTGTGATTTTAAATATATTTTAGCCTTATAGATTCTCCGTAGCCTGCCTAAGTACATTTGGAATAAAGTTATAAAAGGAATTATTAGGCCTAATAATAATAAGAGATACAAAGATTGTAGAAATATTGCTTGTTCCAGTTCCGTAAAATGCTATGAAATTACTGCTTGAGTTCTTTTGATGCTGCATCTAGATTACCTGTCTCAATCAAATATCCCTCAAATGAACTGGATTTCAATTCCCATTTTTCCCTAAACACTATGCACTTCTCCCAAATAGAAAATTTACACTGACATTGTTATCGATCAGCTAAGTAATAGATCTTGGTATATGCCCAAACACTGCTAGATCTTGGTATATGCCCCAACACTGGACAAGAAATAACAGCCCCCATTTTCTGATGAGACCACTTTCCCATATCTGTTGGGCATAAGCCCTTATACCATTTTTGCACCCAGAAATGCATGGGTGTATTTTATAAAGGAGTTCCAAATCCTTAGCTTACCCTTTCAGTTCATCAGTTAAACACATGCCGAATTGTTTAGTGCCTGTTTCCATGCATCTTCTTATCATTAATCGATAACGGGGTTCAAAGACATGAAGAGGACAAGGAATGGTAGGGAAAGCCATAGTGCATACAAAAATGGGAACATCTTTATTCAGACTGCAAGAGAAGAAAGATTTACTTTTATGCTTATGCAGTTCAATATCTATTAAAACAAATAATTGAAATCCATGTTTGAAATTACTTATGTAATAAGTTTCATTGTATTTGTGTTTTCACTCAGCTTCCCTGGATCTCTCTTCTGTTACTGACAAATACAAGAGAAGACTATCTAAACATAGCAAAGACCATGCTCAGCTGAAATATTCTGAGTTTACTGTACATGCTTAAGGCAACATTTTATGGCTAGTGGGCAAATTGGAAATTTGGAACATGCTATAGTTCTCATAAAATTGGTATTATTGGTTGTGGGAAAATTGATGTTTCATTCTGTAGTATGCCTGCTTGCTACATAATTATTATTTCAATCAACTACACAACTAAAATCAGGTGTACCAAGAAATACATCTGATGTATATTATTGTATACATACAGAGACAATATGGGATTTAGAATAAAATTAACAATAGTTTGATCCCATAAGAATCCTACTCTATCAACTTTATTCTTTTACAAAGAATTTTTATCCTCCAAACAATAACTTTATCTGTTACAGAAAACTACTATGTGGTTCTCCAGTTTTTGCAACAAATATCAGAATATATTTATGGCACTTCTGTAAAAGTCTCATTCACAGGCTTTGTGCTTCAACTAAATTAGTGTTCCAATTCATATGGAGGGCATTCCTGACCCACACATTGTATAAAGGGGTTAAGGACTGCTTCCAATGATCTTTCCATCTACCAACCTTTTCATAAAGGCTGAGCAAACTTTGTACAAAACAAGAACTGGGTTTCCAAATGATTTTTAGATGCAGGTTCTCTAATCAAACTTTCTATGAAAAACCAAGACAAAGGAAGAACTGGCACATTAGTGTCAAAATGTCTTCTTTCACATATATAATACCAACATCCTAAAATAAAATATTTTTTGTCTGAAGATCAGAGAACTATAAATATGAAAATATACACAAGTTATTTAAATCAACCCACTTAATTTTATTAATATTCTCTTTGTAAATGAAGATTGCTTACTTTGATAATTCCTTCATTTCTTCTTCATAAACCTTTTTCCTTTCAGATAGTTCTTCTGGAAAGTAGCGAACTATTAATTCTTCAGTAAGGATGGTCTTTTTGTAAGTTCGATTTGCCAAAAACTATAAAGGGAGTTCAAGAATCCAAATTATTCAGTTCTAGCTAATCTACTGATCAGTAATTAGAATGGCCTGGGAAATGTTTTTATATTTTAACACTCTAGGGTGGTATCAGGAATTTGTACAGAATATTACAGTCAAGTGCTTAAAACCATAACTACTAAATCACTACTGTATTTAGCGATTTACTGGTTATGGTTTTAAGTGGCTATTATAAGCACTTGAAGTGGCCATTTAATTATTCTACAATTGCTTCTTCAGAAAATAACTCTGAAATATATAGCAGTGTTTCCCATCCTTCGGCACTTGAAGATATGTAGACTTCAACTCCTGGAATTCTCCAGCCAGTTAGGGAATTCTGGGAATTGAAGTTCACACATCAAGCACCCAATGTTGAGAAACACTGTTATATATTAAGATGATGCAAAAGAAATCTACCTTTTTTCTTCTTAAGTCAAACACCACACATATTTAAATACTACCTATCTGTACTATGGTGAGTCATGTTTGTTTCTCCCCACTTCCAGTTTCAAAACACTAGAATCAGCCAGGTTGTAATTTTCATGTGGAACTTTCAAGCATTAAATGGGCTTAATCAGTGGTGGGATTCAAATAAGTGAACAACCAGTTCTCTGTGTGGATGCCGCTTTCGGAAGTCCATTTTGGGCCTGGGCAACAAAAAATTAGCTACTGGTTAATTCTCAAACAGATCCCAAGAAGAATTAGAGAAGCTCGAAGAGAATACCAATTCTTAACAAGGAAATTGATCAGTAAAGGAGTGAACTTCAGATGGTTAGTCCCAGAAGGACTATTAATTTTTTGGGACACAAAAAGATACAGATTGAACACCCCACAACAAGCAGAGGATTTCTTTAATAATCATACAGACTTTCTGGAGAGAAGTGAGGCGGAACCTAAGAAACCAGAGGAAACAACTGCAGGAACATCGAAACAAACGGAGGAAGATGCGCCTAAAAAGACTCAAACAGAGGAAGATGTGAGGCCTAAAGATCAGAGACAGATAAGCTCTCCTAGAAAACTGAGATCGCGACACAATTGAAACTATGGAGGAAATTGGAATTCTTTCAATAAATATAAATGGTCTTAACTCCCCATCAAAAAGGAGTAAAATATTTCATAGACTACAAAAATTAAAAATGGATATAATTTGTCTCCAGGAGACACACATTAAGTTACAACATTCTAGAATACTTGAACAATTAAAAATTGGCAAACTTTATTTTTCCTTGACACCACAAAAGAAAAGAGGGATAGCTTTATATATAAAAGAAAAGATGAATCGAAAACAAATTTATGCTGATGAAGAGGGAAGAATACTGATGGTAGAGATTACATGGAATCAAAAACAAATATTGATGGTTGTGATATATGCTCCCAATGAGAAGCAAGATCAATTTTTTCAGCAATTATGTGATAAACTCGTGGACTTAAACTACCATAGCTTGTGTATACTTGGAGACCTTAACGCAATTGTTGATCCAGTACAGGACTATAAAAGTTACAAACGGGAAAAAAAGGAAGTAATGTCCTATATAAATCCTTTCTAAGAATGAAAGATGAACTCTGTATACAGGACATTTGGAGAGAGATGTACCCGGAAAAAGCACAATATATCTTTTACTCTAACAGACATAAATCTTGGTCAAGAATTGACATGATATGGACTTCTTTGGACTTAAAGGCCATGATACAAGAAATTGAAATAGAATCTAACATTTGGGCAGACCATAATTCAATGAAAATGACCTGGAAAGGACTTAAGAAAAGACCAAGATGGTCCTTGAATAAATCAATATTGAAAGAAAAGGAGTTTTTACAATTTGCAATAAAAGAAATGGAATTCTTCTTTAAAGTTAATAAAAAAGAAGAAACCTCTATTCAAATTGTATGGGACATGGCAAAAGCATATTTTAGAGGTTTGGCCATAACTTATCTTGCTAAAAAGAATAAGGAAAAGAAACTTGTTCAACATAGATTGAAAGAACAACTTAGTATGTTGGAAGCTGAATTACAATCAGACCCTCAAAAGAAAAAGTTGAAAATACAAATGGAACTATTAAAACATAAGTTAAACTTACTTGAGACAAATACAATGGCACAACAGGTTAAAAGGTCTAAACAGAATTTTTTTGAAAATACCAATAAACCTGGGAGATGGTTGGCATATAGACTAAAAAAAGAAAGAGAAAAAAGATTAATAAGTAAGCTACGGGATACGGATGGTGATCTACAATGTCATAATGACTTAATGAAAAAAATTACGAAGGAATATTATGAGACACTGTATAAGGCGGAGACGGTTTCTAAGGATGTAATTCAGGCTTATTTAAAAGAAGCAAATCTCCCAAAGGTTCCGGAGAATATGCGTCAGAGGCTAAACAAGAATGTTTCAATGATGGAGATTACAGAGGCAATAAAAAAGCAAAAGAAAGATAAAACACCAGGACCTGATGGTCTTCCTGCTGAATTTTATGTAGCGTTACAAGATACTATAACTCCAACCCTGAAAGACTTATGTAATGAAGTTTTTACATATACAAAAATCCCGGAATCATGGACTGAAGTTAATATTACTTTGATACCTAAAGAAGATACTGATCATACACTAATTAAAAATTACAGACCAATATTGCTACTAAATGTGGATTACAAAATCTTTGCTGCAATAATGGCAGAAAGAATGAAAAAAAATTTGAATGAATTTATACACCCAGACTAAAATGGTAAAGACAGATAAAGAATAATTTGAGGATTATTTTAAATGTTCTGGAGTACTATGAAATCCATCCAGGGAACCAGATGGCACTTATTTCTTGACGCACAAAAAGCCTTTGATAACTTAAATTGGCAATTTATGTTTCAACAACTTCAAGAAATGGACTTTGGTGAAAATTTTAATAAAGCAATTCAAGTAATTTATAAGAAACAAACAGCAAGAATACTTTTAAATGGAGATTACACAGATGGATTTGAGATTAAAAAAGGCACTAGACAGGGATGCCCATTGTCTCCTCTGTTGTTTATTCTTACATTAGAGGTTTTGGCAAGAAATATCAGACAAGACACAGAAATTAAAGGCCTGGAGATTAAAGATCAGAAATATAAACTACAGGCCTTTGAGGATGACTTGGTCTTCATTCTAGAGGAGCCATTGCAAACAGCTGATAAACTCTTGCAGAAAATTGAGAAATTTGGAGCAGTGGCTGGTCTGAAAATAAACAGGGAAAAGACTAAAGTAATAACAAAAAATCTAACTGACAAACAGAAAACTCAACTTACTAAAATGACAAATCTTTAACTATTTACAAATAGTTAAAAAAGTTAAATATTTGGGTATTTATTTAATGGCGAAATATACTACACTAAAAGAAGATAATAAAGAGAGATTAATGAAACAAATAAAAATGGACTTGGAAAGATGGGGAGATCTTCAATTATCACTTTTAGGAAGAATAGCAACGGTTAAGATGAACATTTTACCAAAGTTAATTTTCTTATTTCAAAGTGCCTGTTAAACTTACTAAGAATTTTTTTGATGATTTAAATGCAATGATTCTAAGATTTATATGGCAAAAAAAGAAAGCGAGAATCAAATGTAAATTGTTACAAGAATCTAAGGCTTTGAACTTCCAGACTGGAGACTTTACTATCAAGCGGCTATTTTGCTTTGGCTTAAAGAATGGATTGTATTGAGAAATAAAAGACTGCTTTATTTAGAGGGACATGACCTTCAGCTAATTGGCATGCTTTTATATGGTATGAGAAATCTAAAGCACATAAGTACTTTCAAAATCATGCGATAAGAAACGTACTACTTTCAGAATGGGAGAAAATTAAACATGAAAATACCTGAGTGGCTTTCAACAATGGAAGCATTTGTTTATCCAAATCTGATTAATTATGACAAACTGGTTAATTATAAAGACATTTTAGACAAAGTGGGAAAACTTAAGGACAGGCAAACTTTACAACTACAAGGTATTGACTTGACATGGTGATCCTACTTGCAAATTCAAACAAGATACGAAAAAGATATTAAATTGACAGGTTTTTACAAAGAACAGACCCCATTGGATAAAATTTTGTTAAAAACAGATGAGAATTTGATTAGAAAACTCTATAAATTTCTTTTAAACTGGAAGATGGAAGAAGAACAAGTGAAAGAAACAATGATAGTATGGGCAAAGAACTTTGGATATTCTATAGATTTGGAAGACTGGCAAAAACTTTGGGATAAAAATATTAAGCTTACAAAAGCGGTAGCATATAAAGAAAACTTATATAAGATGTTTTATAGATGGCATATGACACCAGTTCGCTTAGCGAAAATGTTTTAAAATGTTTTGGATATTTTCTGGAAATGTAAACAACAGCTAGGCACTTATTACCATGCCCGGTGGACATGCCCTATCGCTAAGAAATATTGGTCTAAGATCCATAGATGATTGGAAAAGATGATGAAACTACAAATAGAATTTAAACCAGAATTGTTTTTGTTAGGAATATTAAGACCTAATTATGGCAAAGAGAATAACTACTTGATATTGCATGTTTTAACTGCTGCAAGGATAGTATTTGCCCAATTTTGGAAAAATGAGTATCTACCATCTGACCAGATTATTATTACCAAAATTTTAGAGTGTGCAGAAATGGATAGACTAACATTAGAAATGAAAGAAAAAGATGATTCAATTTATTTTAGAACTTGGGAAATTTTTTATCAATGGTTAGAGACACATTAGAACTTGAAGGATTTAATATTTTAGAATAGATGACTGATTTTTAATCGAGTTCTAACTAACATTTTGATGATACGATTACTTTTCCTGATTTACTGATTTTCATTTTGTTACTTTTGATTGTTAGGATTTATTTTTTTGAGATTTTATTAGTAGTGTTTACTTAATAGATCAACGTATTTGTTTACTAATTGTTTTTAATATGCTACAGTTTAAGCTTTGTTAAAAATGGTTGAATATGATATTTACTCATTATTACGATCCAGACGGTTGCTTGTTTGTTGAAATATGTGATTGTACCTATCCTTATTTAACCCTAATTCCTTATTTCCTTCCCCTTCCCCTTTCTTTTTACCCCTCCCTTTACCATACCTGTATTGTTCCTATTTTCCCTCACCTATATAAATTTAATAAAATTTTGTTTAAAAAAAAAAATTAGCTACCGGTTCTGCCGAACTGGTGCGAACTGGCTGGATCCCACCACTGGGCTTATTGAACTTTTGTATTGCACCCTTAAAAAAAACACTCTGAAGCCTGCTCCAAAAATCAGATCAATTCTCCCCTTTTTTAGAGGTGGTTTAAGGGGGTAAATGGGCCTTTAAAGGTTCAAGAAACACAATCCTTTCATTTAAGCAACTTCTGGAAATGGGATGGGGAAGACTTACATCTGAGAGCTTTTCTTTACAAAGCGGACAGTGGGGATTATGATCCAGACAACGTTCAAGGCATTTGAGGCAGAACGTATGTCCACAAGGAGTAGTAACAGGCTCATAGAATAACCTGAACAAGACATGAAAATAACAATTTCATATATCCATTCATCTGCACATCAAGAGAGTTTTCCTATGTGATCCATGTAACTATGAGTGTGCAAAATATTTTACATTGAAACTGTCTTGAATTCAAATGCACTGTTTTTTATTATTATTTCAGAAATAATAATAGTCCTTCTAGCAGTATGGGGTATTATTATGTACCAACCACCCAATTAGCCCATTCTTATTGAGGAAATGCTTATTTCTCAAGTTAGGACACATTTATTTTCAAAAACTGTTTCTGAGCTCAATAATGTAAGACAAATGATGAATTCTTACTATAAAATTAAAGTTAATGAGCTAAAAATATATTAGTGTATTATTTCTTATTTAATAAATTAACATAATGTGTATCTCTTCAGGAGATACACAGCAACTTTCAATACAACTTAACAGAATTATAAAATGTCCATCAAGCACAAAATAACAGAATGGACATTTGCTTTTTCTGGAATGGAATTGTTTGGTTGTTTTCCATCTAAGTATTAACCTAGGCGAACAGTCCCCATAAGAAAATTACAATATCAAAATTATACGACTGTAATATGTCATCACATGGATACTGTGACTTACATACTTCTGTCATGATATCTGACATAACATAAATCACAGCATTTGTGTGATGATAAATCCAGCTTCAGTCTACTTATGCTTCAAATCCAGAGAAGGTAAGATACATGGAACTGCTGCTGAAATTTAAATCCTATAGAATAATACATTTTATGCAGCTTGTTAATACCTCATACAAAGAGAACACTCAAAGTCAGATGCATCCATAAGATTTGTAGGAATCTCTTTTATGGGAAGAGAAGCTGAGTTTCCACAAGTAGCATCACCATCTTAAATAAAAAAAGAACATTTGAAATAAATATGATTCATTTTCTGAATGACCTCATTAGATAATTCAAAGTATCAAAAAAGGAAGAGGAGGATGTATCAGATCTTTTAAAAACTAAAAATTTCCAGTGAGTTCCAGACAGGAACATAGGACTATGATTTAGATTAACTTCTGTTCAGAAAAATTAAAGAAAGATTCGAGACACACAACTAGAAAGTTTAACGTCTATGCAATTATGGATACCAATCTACAAAATGTTTTGTTACAAAATAACTCTTAGTCTATGGTATGACAAAATGCCATAACTATTCCCGTCTATTTGGAATCTGCTATTTAGAGCAAAAGACAACCCAGACCACAGCTTGTGTATTTTGTTCAGTTTGATCAATATTAAAATTTATTATTTATATTGAAATTATTAAAATTAATAATTTCATGTTTTTATATTCTAGTCTATCCTAATCATTATAACATGTTTTATTCTTTACAACTACAAGAATAAAGAATGTCACATTATACTCATTTTCATTTAATGTAAAGTTATAACATATTGAAAATTATTATGTTTTTTCTTACACAAAATACTGAGCAATTTAACTTAGTTTAAAATAGGAATTGCTAGACTGACTCTGGCAAAATATTCCAGAACTAGCCAAAATTGTAGGTTTTTCGCTCTAAAATAAATACAGCAGCAATAACAAAAAACCAAAATGGACAGCATGTAAAAGGCTGCAACAGACCTTTTCTAGGGATTTTGCTCGGGACATCCAGATTCTGTAAGTCTCCCACATCAGTAGAAAATTTTCTTTTCAAGTTTGCATTGGGTAGGCTGGAGAGGACTTTTCCTAAAGTTTTCTTGTTCTCTTCAAAGTAGAATTCATGATGGGAAATTGAAGAATCAATACAGCGATAGACATCATTCTCTTGGGAAGGATTTCTTGTTAACCTCAACATGGTCTCCTAAAATAAATACATTTGTTTATAAATAAATACATAAAGACAAAATGTGTCTTTTGTAGACATACCTTTGTTGATCGTAGCGATGATTCAGAACTAACAGTTTGGCAACTTATTACATGACTTCTGCTGGGACTACTTCTATCAATTCTATTATTTATATATAATATAAATAATAATAAATAATATGGACTGGACTATATGGATATTTCAGAAACTAAGTGAATCAACTGCTCAGGTAAAGCTTTCTCTGCATACAGTAGTGGCCAAAATTGTGGAAAACTTTTGGGAAAAGTGTATTTTTGAGGTTTAATGGCTAATAACATCACTTTTTTTTGGAGTAGTACCATAAAATTATATATTTAATCAAGAATATAATGCAACAAAGTTTGTTCAATTATCTGCACTGTATTCTATGAAAAGTTATAGCCAAATAGCCAGAAAAAGGAAGCACAACCTGCTTAGGTTGATATCAGGTAGCTTCCCTTCATCTGATTGTAGCCAATGAGCGTGAGTGTTTAGAGAGCCAATCAGGTGTCCTTTGTTTTGGCAATGAGCCAATCAGATCACAATTGGATTCAGTTATTGATGTCATGTATTGAAGCTAAGAGGAGGACATTTGTCAGTGTGTTATGTTATTACTATCAAGTTGGTTGAGTTTTTTTCCTTTCATTTAGTGAGCTTGTAAAACACAATCAAATTAAAGTAATGGTGCAAAGAGTTGAATGGTTGTCCAGAAAGCGATGTAAAATAGTATTATTAAGCGAACAAGGCTATAGTCATAAAGAAATCGGAAAAAAAATTGGTGGAAACTTAACCAAAGGTGGCATTTCTACTGTACACTTTCCCCAAAAGGTTTCCACAATTTTGGCCACTACTGTACTTTGCCCAAATACAAAAGGATGGATTATATTTTAATACAGGTTTTCTAGAATTATGGATTCAACAGCAAACATAGTTACCAAGTATATATTTAAATTAGGAACCCACAAATGGATAGTATATGATGGTGGAGTGCTCACTTCAAAACCCACCAAAGCCTTAAATTTTACCACACATCCATGAGATTTCAGAAATGTATAATATAGGGAGAAGGCAGAGTAGCTTCCATGGTTGCAACTGGAACCTAGTGCCCACAGCTAATATCTGCTGTTAAAAAGAACTCTCCAAATATGCAAATGTTAACTTATATTGAATCATAATCATTTTTTATGAAATACATTCATTTTAGTGATTTTTATAATATATCCATTTAGTAATCTTAGTAACCAATCATTACTTTTAGTTTCCATTCCATTCTATTCCATTATTAATCAGTTTTCTTTGGGAAGCTATGTCCTTCCCAAACTAAACTAAAACTAAAATTAAACTAGATAATGGTACACTTCTGAATATAATACTGAATATAATAAAATGCTATATATAATGCCCTGAAATAAAGAGCAGACTCATGTGTTAAGTACCTTTGAGCTCTCTGCTGTTGACCCATCTTCACTAGAAGATTGTGTATTTATGCTACTTAGAAATGCAGGTTTCAATCTTGTATAAGAGGTCCGATTACAAAAAGGTGTTGTTAAACTATCAGGAATATTTTCAAATGCTGGAAAAAACATCTCACACATTATCTAGGTTTAAAAAAAATAGAAATATCATAAAATTCAGTTCATACATAAAGGATTTTAAAAAGGATACTTATACAAACAATGATGGAATATACCTTACCATACAAGATCAAATTTTTGGCAACCTACAAATTTTACTTTATCTGTTTCCTATTTCATTTCCCTCCTCCAGAATGCTACATTCATATGTAATCATGTGCCAAACTGTTATCCACTCCACTATCCCATTAAGGAAAATGAAAACAAGACCGCTAAATGTAGGGTTGTTTCAAATGTCATGATATTTCCTAGTTGGAAGTTTACTCATGGCTGAATGGTGCTTGAAGGCTGACAGATGCAGATTAATAATTATGAATATTTTTTTTATAATATTTTATTAGTTTTCTAATTTTACAATTAAGTATTTAAAAAGCAATGCGGTGGCTGGGTTAATCAATAGTTTGATAACATGAGTAAATCTTTAGTACAAATCTCAAGTTACAACATCAGATATTTTCTTTCTTTTTCCCTTAATATCTACTATCTCCTATTAGGCTAGTACAGTTCTTAATATTATCAACTAAGTAAAAACATCATTATTACATTTATCAATAATTTTTAGCTTATAAATATCTTAATTGTGTTTACGTTCAATCCTTATATATAATCAATGTCCTGTTATTGTTTTTTTCCCAAGCTTTAATTTCCTATTAATATTTAAATTAACATTTGATATTTATAATTTCCAAGCTTTAGGAACCAAAGTTTCCTTTATCTCAACTTCTTCTTTTTTCCCTTTTCATAACAAAATCTAATATTCTAAATACACATCTTATCTATTTGAGTATAGTCTTGTTCTGTTTTCTAAAAGTTATCTATTTTCCACTATATTAAACCATCTAATTTAATAAATCAAACCCCTAATTTTCTTCAGCCTTATTCAGGCATTTTTCCTTTGCCAATTAGCCTTCCATGTCAAGTGCTTTTAAATCTTCAAATAGTTCTCCCTCTGTTATTATATATATATATATATATATTTGAAATAAGAAAGATCATTTAGTTGCAGTTTTTTTGGAAGAACTAGCCCATTTGTATTCATTAGATTGCCTCCCTAATATTACTCCAATTTCTCATAACTGTCCTGATAGGTTTATCTTCCATTCAATCTGTTCTTCCTTCTCAAATTTCTTCTGATTTATATAGAAAGACAGAGGACTTAATTGACCAACAAATCCAGCCAATGGAAAATTCAGAAAAGGGAGTGACAACACTGAAAATGGAAAATAATTATGAATATCTAATTCATTGGCTACTTTATTTCGTTATTTATTTTTTATCATCCCTTTATTATTTTTATGAATAACTCAAGGTGGTGAGCATACTTTTTCCTTCCTGAGTTGAGAAAAAGTGACTGACTCAAAGTCATCCAGCCACCAGTTAGACTAAATTATATTAATTAGAATGTTCATGTTACTGTGTTAAATATTAACATCTGTTTTGATTTTTTTTAAATCACCCTAATATTTAGTTTACCCAATAGCTTTGGTTTCCATTCAGCCAATCACTGGCTTTCAGTGACCAAAAAGCAGAATAAAAAAAACTGAATAATCAAATAATTAATACTTCACTTACAACTTTTATTTTTCATGGGTCTGATAGCTGTAGAGGCTAAAAACCAAGTACATAAAAACATCACACTTTAATTATGGACGAAAAGTGTAACAGTCTACCTTTTGGGCTTCCATCTTCATTGAATTCCACTCAGGATTTAAGGCAACACAATAAAGAAATTCCTTCAATGCTTCTTCAATCCTTCCTAATCCAGAAAGAGCTTGTGCTTTGACATAATGACTCTGCATGCATAGAAAGAAGGAATGAGATAAGGAGCTCAAGCTTCATGATTCCAAGAAATATTGGCTAGAGTGTCTTTACCTCTTACAACCATGATGGTATTTCAAAACAGAACAGAAAATGAAGATAAGAAACAAAGGTGCAAAGGGAAACAATGATAGGTGCAAATTTTAATCCCACGTGATACATTTTAGTGTGGGAAATGCATCTAAGTCAAACAACTAGGCTTTGCACACTTTAACAAATTATAGAAAGGAATAACAAGTAATGCTGCAATTACTTTCCATATCATTTTATGTCTCTTATATATTTTTAGAGACACTATGTATCCCCAAAGAATTGAGGGCAGCTAGTAAAGAGCCAGTTTTTGTAATAGTTAAGGCATCAGGCTAGAAACCCTCGCTGAAGAGATTTAAATTATATGTGAGAAAAAAATCCCTTTTTTTATATGCAGAGATATTTTGTTTTTTTTCTTAACTGCCAACTTGCAAACAGATACTGTACCTTAGGCCAATGGGGTTTATTTTGACACAGTATTTCTGCATCATGAAGGGCTTTTTGATAATTCTTCATAGCTGTACAAAGTTCTGCCCGCTGTGCTATTAACCAACATCTACAAGAAGCTGGAATAGAAGAAGAAAATGTGTAAATGACAAATGATGACTTTCTGAAACAGTAATTAACTAAATATTAGTCACTCATTCTTTTGTAACAAAAATGCCTTCAAATAAGTTATATGAACAAATGTGTACATTATATTGCTAAAATTGTACTCAATTGAGAAAAACAGTCTGCAAAATTAAAATCCGTAGCGTGTGTATGATAATATTAATAAATATAAATGTAATCAATGCAATACAATCTGGTTATGTGGTGCTTTTGGTTTAAGGCCAAAAAGGCATTTTGGAGCACAGAACATGAATACATACTGACCTGCAATTTCTTAAACCAAATAACTTTTTTGCCAGGGTGCCATGGCGGCTGTAGGGAATAGCCACATAATCTGGGGAAAGATGTGGCTATTTTATAAATTGTACACAAATGCCACATTTAAATTCCTGTAGCTCCAAAGAGCTTTCTTTGCTTTCAAATCTAAAGCAGTTTCTTGTCTTGTAATATATTACATTTTTAAAAAATAACTAGTTCATTCTTCATTACTATAAACTTCCCAGCACATTCAGGCATAAAGCAATTTCCAAAATTATTCATAAGAGCATTTCAAAGCTTGCAGGAAGTAGCCTTAGCTTTTTTCAGGCTTTAATGTGAAGGGGCGTTGTCTTATCTGAATGCCTTTTCTCAGCAAGACGATGGAGAATCCATAGATGGGTTGATCTTGCCTTTCTGCCCTAGAGACTAAGTCAATCAACCTTTGCCATGCCTCTCTTCCTCAGGCTAGGAATACCTAGTCACGACGAAGGTGCAGCAGTTGATGACATTTCAAGGTGGTGGCTCAAATTCCCCTGACACAGGACCAGATGGACCTTGGGGGGGGGGGAGTGGATTCTTCATTGTCATGCTGAGAAAAGGTGTTCAGGTAAGACAACGCCCCTTCTCCAGCATGATGAATGGAGAATCCACAAATGGGACATACCAAAGCCTCACTGTCCCTATGGGCAGGAACAAGTCTGGGCCTGTGTCCCACTATCTGTTACTATGCTTTGGAGGAATCTCCTGCCAAATGAAGCATCTGCCGAAGCGAACTTATGTAAGTTATAATGCCTCACAAACTGGGAAGGGGACAACTACATCGCTGCTCTGCATATCTCTTTGATGAACGCCTGTGTCGCCCACGCCGCTGAAGTTGCCAGACTGCGAGTGGAGTGTGCAGTGAGCCATCTTGGAAATGGCAAGGAGTGTGTCTGGTACGCTCCTGCTATGCAAGCCCTAATCCATCTGCCGATAGTAGAGGCAGTCACCTTCTGACCCCTTGAAGAAGGGTGGAATGAAACGAATAGGGCAGACTTGCGAAAAGAGGCAATTCGCTTAATATAGCGACGCCAGGCTCTGCGAATGTCCAAGGTGCACCATTTACATCCCAAATCATAGGACGGCTCAGGACAAAAATCTGGCAGCACAAGCTCCTGAGCCCTAAGCGTAGGACTACCCTGTCATTATGAAAAATACATAAGTCATCTCTAATTGAGAGAGCTGCCAATTCCGAGATGCACCTAGCCGATGTGACAGCTACTAGGAATACAACCTCTATAATAACTGTAGAGTGGAGGTTCTGATGGACTCGAATGGAGGTGAAGTGAGAGCCTTGGACAGGTCCCAAGAGGGATATCTGTGAACCATGGGCAGTTTGCTGTTGATTGAGCCAAGGGCTCTGAGTTGCCATATGTGAGCACCGTGGACAGAGCAGCAACTTGTCTGCGGATTGTGTTGGGTGCCAAACCCTTCTTAAGTCCCTTCAGTAAATCATCCCAAAATTCCTGGAACAAGAATTGTAGCTGGATCTAATTGCTGTCTCCCACAGCATTTATAGAAATTCTTTCATGAAGAATCATAGATTCTAGTAGTTGCAGGCCTACTTGAAGCCTGAATCATGGTAATCACGTCTGATGAGTAGGTCTCCTTTGATAGGAGTCTCCTTTCAAATGCCAGGCGGTTAGCTGGAGCCGCTGAGGCTCTGGATGTTGTAGAACCCCCTGGCTGAGCGAGATTTGATCTTTGGGTATCCTCTACGGAGGAGAGATTGAGAGACCTACGAGGTTGGCATACCATGGCCATCTTGGCCAGTGGGGAGCAATGAGTATCATCTCTGCCCATTCCTGCAGTATCTTCCGGATAACTGTCTGGATCAGAGGGAGAGGAGGGAATGCATACAGGGGCTTTCTGGGCCATGGGCTGTGTAGGGCATCTACCCTTTCCACCCCTGGAAACGGGAAAAGAATCTTGGGAGCTGGGCATTCACTGGGATAGCAAACAAGTCCAGCACTGGATGATCGAAGCTCTCCGATATCTCCCTGAAGAGATCCAGGTGCAGGCACCACTCAGAGTGGTCTACTGTTGCCCTGCTCAAGAACTCTGCTTGCCGATTCGTCTCTCCTGAAATGTATTCAGCTTGAGGGGCAAGAGGTTGGTCCCCACCCAGGTTCCCAACAATTGATCCCCGGCCATGAGGGACCTGGAGTGGGTACCCCCTTGCCTGTTGATATGGGCTTTTGCCGCCACACTGTCTGTGAGGACTAGAACGTGTTGCCTTGCCACTGTGCTGCTAAAGTGGCATAAAACCAGATGTAGAGCTCTTGAGCTCCAACCAGTTTATGTTGTGCTTCAGTTCTGACCGGGACCAATGACCCTGGGCCAACTGGGATTATAGGTATGCTCCCCAGCCGAACAGGCTGGCATCCGATGTTAGGATGAATCGGTTGGGCTCCTTGTATAAGGTCCCCTTGGCCATCTCTGGGAGCAAGAACCATTGTAGGGTTCTGGAGTGGAGTCGAGCCCAAGGAACTACTGCTATGCAGGAAACCATCTTTCCTAGCAGTTGAAAAAGAGTTGCTAGGGTGACTACTCACTCCCTTTGAATCTAGGTAACTAGGGATCAGATACTGTCTCAACGTTCCTGAGACAGGTAAATCTCCATGTGTTTGCAACGTAGAGGTGATCCCAGTAGCAAGGAGTCAATTTGTGGCTAGAAGTGGTGGCGGTGGGACTAACTTAATGGGATAGCCAGCACACTCACAATCCTGGTAGTGGCGGCAAAACCAACTTAATGGGGTAGTCAGCACACTTATGCTCCTGATAGTGGCAGCAAGACCAGCTTAATCGTGTAGCCAGCACACTTCTGATCCTGTTAGTGATGGCAGGACCAACTTAATGAGGTAGCCAGCATACTTCTGATCCTGTTAGTGATGGCAAGACCAACTTAATGTGGTAGCCAGCATACTGATAATCCTGTTAGTGGCAGCAAGGCCAATTTAATGGGGTAGCCAGCACACTTATAAGCAGCAAAATCGGTGATAGGAAAAGGCGCTGAAAATGGCAGCATTTAAAGCGGGCACTCAGCCACGCCCTGAAGTCTTTGGAAATTGCGTCCTGAAAGGAGGCTGTTGTTGTTGCCTCTAACTGTAATAGTCTTGGTATGTGGTGAGCTGTCAAGAAGCTTGGGATTGGAGAAGCAGCATCTTTGAAATATCACTCCTTTACTCTGGCCTTTTGAATGGCCTGAGAGTGTTTGTAAGGCTTTCAAAATTTCAAGGGAGAGGTACCCTTGCTGTCACTTGGACCTTCTAAAAGGATGGCCTCCCAGGCCCTGAAAGGGCCTCTTGGCCTGAAATTGCTGTCTGGGTTTGTCCTTGTTACCAGATCTGTGGAATTGATGGTCTGGTCTGGGAGGATAAGGATAGGAGAAATAAGTGAATTCCGACCCTGTTTCGGTTGAGCAAAAGGACTGTTGCAGGCGTAGGGCATAACTCTCCTATCTGCCCTTCTCATAAGATAGGACATGACCTTGCATTTATCCTTATTTTCAATCAGATAAGGATTTATTGCCTCACCAAATAACTGGCCTCCCCTGTAAGGGGCTGTGGCCAACTGCCATTTAGACCTAGCATCCGCTCGCCATCATCTGAGCCACAAAAGTCTGCGAGAGGTGACGTTAGATGCTAATGCCCGAGAGGAAAATCTGGCCGCTTGTAATGATAAGTCCGCCATGTATTCTGATGCAGTCACTAATTTGTTTAAGTCGTGGTGCATCCATACCTCTTCTGGCGGGACCCTAGCCTGCAACTGGAAAGGCCAGAGGAGTGAGATTCTGGCAAAAAAGGAAGTGGATGTAGCTGCCTTTACCGCCCATGCTGAGGCTTGATGGGTCTTGTGGAAACTGAGTTCCGCTTTCTTATCCTCTGAATTCAAGGCCTCTGCCATATCTCCAGACATCGTGAAGGAAGAAAACAATGATGCTAAGGGCTCATCTACAGTGGGGACTTCTAGCACCTCTGATAGTGCTGGGGCCACATTAAACAACTTTTTATCAGTCCCCAGCAGGGGATGGAAAGGTACCAGGCATACCCCATTGACTTTGGACTGCATTGAGAAAAAGGGGAGGACAGGGAATGTCTTGCTGGGTAAAGGTTGGTTCTGAAAAGACTGTACTGGTAGGACCCTGGCTGGTGAAGGCTCAGCCTGAGGGACCCCTTCAGAACCAATTTGAGCAGTGCTCCTGGCCTTGTGGAGTAAGAGGGCCGGATTAAACAGGCCTACGAAAGGCGGAGGATCAGGGGATAAGTCCTCATCTTCTGACAACCCCTGCTCCGTCTGTTCGTCGTCCCCTGTGAATGACTTTCTGCTCCTGGAGGAATGGGAGCGGGAAACCGACCCCTAGTATGCGGCTGCTTCTGCCAGGGAGAGATAAGATAGGATCCCTGATGCTATTGACTCAGGTCGAGATCTCTGGTGTAAAGTCGAGCTATGCCTTGAGCAATAGCCTGAGAAATCAGAACCTGCAATTGCTCTGATAACACTGTCTCCTGAGTCTCTGAGGGGCAAAGCCCTGCCGCTGTAGAGGTGAATGTGGCCTCTGGGAAGAGGCCTAGCTGTATTCGGAGGAGCAGGGATCTGAAGGCCAAGCCCCTCACTGGAAAGGAGAACCATCTCCACTTGCTCTGCCATGGAAAAA